TGCTGCTGGTGTTGAGATTGCGCAAAGTGCCGTGACTGAGAGCTCTCTTCCTAAGTAGATTCAGGTTAGTAGTCGACTGTGTGCTGTAGTTCCAAACAGTTCAGTTCGGATCAGCAGCTAAAGAACGAGACGGATTGCATGATGAATTCTACCATGATCTTTCCCAATTAGTCCAGAGTTCAATCAACGGAAGTAATTATCGCCAGAGACTTCTATGCTCAAGTGGGATCCTTGAAAGAACGACGGTTTTTTGGTGGTCCAAACACAATTCCAGCCAAACGGACGGAAAATGGAGATAGCCTACTTCAGCTTTGCGCTGATCACGAATTGTTAGTGTCAAACACCAAATTCTCGCACAAGATTCGGCACCGCCAACCTCCACAGCAATTCACCCACATCGCCNGCCACCGCTGGAGAGAGTCAATTCGAGACCGCAGCTCTCACTGGTCAGTTGCCGTGGACATGAACCACGCTGTCATGAGCTATATTTTCCCTACGTCTAGTAAACAACTACAAAGGTGCCAGAGGAAGCGGGTGTCTACAATAACATGTCAATATACGCAGATCAGCCTTTGAAGCGGAGCTTCCCGATGGTCTATCAGTTCAACTATCAACCGAAGGACTCAATGAACACTGGGAGCAAATTAGAGAAGCCTTGCAAACATCGATAAAAACAAACAGCGCGGTGGTGCAGGATGAAAGTACGAACGAGGGATCGCGGCTGCCCTGCTGGTCGCACACAGAGCCTGATGCCGCATACAACACAGTGTGCAATTTCTTGAACAGCAGTCTAAGGAATGACCGGGAGAAGGGGTGAGTAAGAAAGTGAGAGAAAGCTGTGGCTATTGGTAGCAGTCACACTCTTTTCCGTCGAAGTAGGAACACAGGCCGGAGGAAAAAAGGCGTGAGTGAGGCACACAGATTCATTGAGGTTATTAAGGAATCGGAAGGCACACTGATTGGGTGGTGGTGGATTGGTGGTAACGTCACCAAATTACCACCTCGGGGGACATGTGTTCGAACCCCACCACCACCACCTNACCACCGCCTGACTTCCCATGGCAGCCCTTTGACTGGCCGCTTCCCCCTTCCTGAAAATTGTATCATTGTGTACTCAATAACAGGAAGTAAAATTAAAAAAGAAAGAAAGATCAGCAACGCCGTCTTGACCGTTGGGCTGAACATTCCAAGGCTCAGTTCAACTGGCCTCCATCGACATTTGAACTATCACCCTCCAGCTCGACTGGGCAAATGCTCCCCGTTTATGCCAGTCCTCCATCTGAAATGGAGGTCTCTTGGGAAATAAGGTATCTCAAAAGGGAGAAGGCCTCCGGCCCAGAAGGGCTGTCCTCATCCGCTTTTAAGGCTTAGTCTCGGAGTTAACAAAATCCCTGGGCTCCGTGTGGTAGAGGGAACAGGTTCCAGCTGAGTGGTGTGAATCGGTGATCATACCGATTTACAAAGGTGACAGATCCTCTTGTGAAAACCACAGATGAATTAGTTTAATCATCTAAACTTCTCGCGGGCATCATGCTCCGTCGATTGTCTGCCGCACGTGTGAAAACCTCGTCGAGGTTGTATCGATCACATCTTCACTCTTCGCCAAACTGTGGAGCACCGATATTCTTTTCGTAGCCCCACCATCTATCTTCCTGGACCTAAAAGCGGCTTTCGATTCAGTTGACAGTGGGGAGCAGGAACGACGTGAGCGGAATCAGGTAATCCAAATTGGCGACGAAATTGTGAACAGCTAGTAAATCGAAAAAATAAGTAACCATTTGGGAGTCGCACCCTAAAGAAATATCTAAATAAAGACTCACCTGGCATGGAGCCGCCGAACTTTTTCGACATCATGTCTAGGACTTTCTTTACCCTTGGATTGTTTTCATACTTGTGCATGGCAGCAGGGTTGGTTGAGACTTCGCGAAAAGCCTTTATCACTTCGGGGTCCTGAAAATCGAATAGTGGAGTGGTACGTTTAAATTAATTGGATGACGTTATGGGCAAAACGATAACACCGGTTTTGTTTGCTGCTTTATCGTTACTTGTCTAGGACTTCTTACAACATGGGAAATTAAACTCCAAGGAAGCTAGACTGGATCCCTAGAAGAAATAGGAAACAGTTTACGTGGGAATATACATTAAACGTGTACCAAATTATTTTGAATTGGCAACTGTATCACAAATAATGGACGAATAAATGTGGGAAAGATTTGAATGTAAATTAGATGGTAGTAGACGGCTTTGCTGTCACCCGGGTCTTTACCACGCATGAGGCCCTGTGGACCGCTTCAGTATCATGGTCATCGGTTTCGTTCTCGAAACACGGACATGACAACATAAATTCAAACACACGCTCGCTCTCTTCACTTAGAAAGTAAACATGCAGTCATCACCTCCACTGACATGATTAGATATAATGAGTGATATGACTGAGTGTCGTAAACAGGAGTCAATACCCTGTTTTCTTTGTAACCATACTTCACTGAAATTCGCTATTCTCTCTTCAACTCTACCTTCAAATATTTTGTCCTCCTATTCCATCATACGAATGGGCGGTCAAGAAATACTAACCAAAATTGACGGCAAGCAAGTGAATGGTTAATGGGTGTACAAACTGAAAACGAAACTCAGCAACACTCGCCAGGTGAACAGCAACATTAATTCCGTGCACCTAATTTCAAGTCGTTGCGTGATCTCTTCTTGAAAATCGGAACGATCAACGATTCATTCTTGGATAAAAATATACGCCCCTCTGACGAGATGCTGCGAATTGTTCGAGTCGATGACGGAGTCAGCACCCGGCTTAAAAAGACATGTGAGAAGTTCATCAGGTCCCGGTGTCTTCCTTTTCCTCAGCGATTGAATACAGCTTCGCACTTCTAATTCAGTAAGAGGCTCAGTCGTTGCCAACCTCGGAACTTCAGCTGCAATCGCTGCAATGTCCGGACCAGTGAAAATGCACACAAATACTCTGAGCTGACGTTGGGGCCACCACCTATGCTGATCCTGGTAGATAGAGATCCTTCACTTTTGCTCAATCAGGATTACTGAACCCTGAGGGATCAAATGTCTTCCACAAGCTTCGGGATCAGCCCCATAAGCAAAGTTTGCCGCTGAATGCATCGCAAATATAATTTGATCCCACTATTAGTGTGCTCCATATCGCCTCTGAGAGCCTGTGTCTAGGGTGGAGGCTAGTCACCCTTCTCTTGCACCTCGCGAAACGCTCCCGTACGACCAATCGTTTCAAATAGTCTCTGCTGATGAAGCCCTGCTCATTGCCTTCTCGTGGCGGAGATGCTTTCTCACCAAAACGAGAGGAAAAAGAGACACCCGGGTTGGTGGATCACTGGTAGTTCACCTAGGGGAGTTGGCCAAAAACCCTGATTCCAAACAAACCAAGAGGAGTACGGTTGTGGCTGTGGTCACCAGCTCGATTGGGTATCGGGGCGTTTTGGACGCTTGACCCCGCTCAAAGGGCGTATGATCTAATGAACTGGACACCAGATCCCAATGGATTGCGGTTTTCACACACCGCCCCGCTGCCTTGCGGGTCAGGCTTTGGCTAGCCGAGGGCACCGGTTGTGTATTCTTAAGAAAATTCATCTACCTTGACCTGGGCAACCTGACAGTATTCAGCCCACATCGAAATCGTGGAATATTTTTCTTTTTATAATGATTATTTTAACACGATTTGTTTGACAGTACCTCCCCACGCTGCGCCCAGGAGTTCGGTTAACTCCGAAACCAAGGCTGAAACTCCCGCCTTAAAAATGGATGAGGAGAGCCCGTCTGGGCCGGAAGCCTTATGCCTTTTGAGATAGCTTATTTCTCGAGAAACCTATATATATACTGCTTTCCATCGCGATGCTCCTGTCCCACCTCTTTATAACGTGCGCAAACATATGGATCCAACCCATTAGCTATATTGTTTAGTACGACTCCTACACCTCGCTGGCCCAGTGAGCGGGCTCAAGTCTCCCGATGTGCGAAGGTATTACCTCGAGGACTGATCCCGTGCACTCACACTGTGCACACACTATTATGTTATTATCCTGATTGCTTGTCTCTGATAAGAAAGACATCAATTTCCAAAGAGTTGATTTTACGCGCAAGACACTCTTTTGCATTACAGCCCCCACTTTGAAGGCCACCGAATTCAGGGAGCGAGGAGGCTTCAGAATCTGTACATTACTTAGCAGCAAACTCCTTACGGTGCTATTCAGCAACGAGCTTCGGTGAGTCGTAAACAAGATGTCGGAGAGAATGTTAGGGATAGAAAGAACGGGCACAGGACGACGGTCGGGTAGAGACGACGGAGTTCAACGCTTATCGGAACGCCTGAGCAGTAGCCCACTTATCACTAATCCATTTCCATACAGAGAAAGAGGCGTATTCTTGCTCTCAAGCAGTTCCTCGGCAGGCATCGCAATATTCATCACCGAAGCCTGTGGCTTGTTACATAACATGGATAACTAAGACAGTGAAACGTACCGAATGAATGAACGACAAGGGCGCACTGTACACGAAACAACATTTCAATCTTCATCCTGCTCTTTTGTCCAAATGGCGAATAAAACCGGCGCAGGGAAGTGCATGGTTAATGGTTGTACAAACTGAACTGAACTGTACACGAAAATCGAGTAGCTCAATTACATTTTTTGGGAAATCGTGAACAGTTCCAGGGAGTTGGACAAACGTGGGTGTAATTTGTTCAGGCGCATTAGGATTATCATTTTTTTGACCAAATGTGACACAAACATCATACAGCTTCTGTAAAATGAATTCGCTCACCTCCAACAAAGTTATTAGCTCGGGATCGTTGAATAGTGAAGAGAACGCATCTCCCATGCCCTCACCGGTTGGCATACCAAACGTGTCAGGCTCCTGAGGCAAATTAAAAGATAAAGAAAAAAATTTGTAGACAATAAAGTCTCCGGACGAAGTAGAGCAACCACGCATCAATCGATTGGTGCATTTATGTATTAAACGAGCTGCAATGAAGTTTTGAAAATAGGTATAAACCAACAAATGCATGGATACTTACCCTTTGTGCTCGTTCACGACTTTCTTGTGCTTTTTTGATTCGTTCGCGGCGTTCCTTTTCTCGCTTTTCTTCGCGTTTACGCTGATACTTTAGATTGTGCTCTAGAATACGCTTGTGCTGAAAAGCAAAAGAAACTTGTGAATAGGGTAGCCGTTTTAATGACAGGTGGAAATCCAATTCGTCAACATAGATCAGCAATGTATTTCTAATGCAAATTGTTTGAATGCGACGACTGTTTATCACTGAACTATTTCATGATCGATATTACCATCGTACAGCTGAAATACGATGAAGGGAACTTCGGTGATCGCAACCAGACTCACAATGCACACAAGATGAGAATACGTAACGTGGTCAAAGATTGGGTCTGTTTTCAGGGAGGTGACGAAAGCGAACCCTTCTGGTCAGTCACAGTTAGGATGTGCATGCAGATTGTTTCAAGCATTGTGGTTGACATTACCAACTGTCTGCTGCCATGTCGTGTCACCAACCAAACAAACCAATCTGGAAGACGATTGATAACGACGCTACCTAGTTGTTCTGTGGATTTCTTCATGCCTCGTCTCCAGGTCATCTTTCAATCTACAAGTGGTTTTCTCCACGCCGGAGCGGCAACTGCAAGCAAGACGCGGTGGAGGCAACATACGCAAAGCGTGCCCTAACCAGCGAAGCCTACTGAGCCGAAATCGATACGATAGCCAATTTTATCATCATCACACCACAGTTGTGGTATGGCAGCGCTTTGATTGACCGCCTCTCCCTTCTGAAAATTGATAGATTACGTTGGTTGGGGCATGTGTTACGCATGTCACCAGTTAGGTTGCCACGGCGAGCGATGTTCGCCGAGGCAGGGCGTGACTGGAAAAAGGTCAAGGGCAGTCAAACAAAGACCTGGCATGAGAGTATGAAAACCTCAACCAAGAGACTGGGTTACAGGTCCCGTTAGGCTCTCTGGCTGGAGATCCCGAGATAATGGCCACCGATGGTTAGACTGAGCGATATGGCTGGGTGTTGCAAACAGTGGTGCTCATGCATCTACTCATTATTCTCTTAACACGTTTATGTGAACTGTCTTCTGCTTAATATGGCTTCTAACATTTCAATCTTCACCCTTTTATTTTATCCAAATGAGTGGCCAGAAGATAGCAACCGAAACCGGCGTATGACAGCGGTTAACGGTTGTGAAAACTGAACCGGACTCTGAAAATTGCATCATTATTTGTTTATTAAAAGTAAAATAAGAAAAACACGAAGGGCTACATCTAGGTCATTAGCTGGTTTACATCCCACCTGGTCGTTGTCATAAACTGATGCGTTACCCTAGTTCACATGGAAATTTATTGACTCTCTTTTCGTTCATTGCAGCTTTTGTACTACGATTGTTAGAATAAAGTCTATGTACGACCAGACTCCTCTGTTGCATTACTCCGCATCTCTCGAATAACAATTTAAGCTTCTAACAATGGATCGTCTCTTTCGCCCCGAAGCTTCGATGCCCATCCTCATTCTCCTACAGCAGCCGAGCACTGGATTCATTGGCGGGACACCTTCGATAATTTTCTTTTAACGGTAGAGATCCCTGACGTCGATACAACAAAACTCCTTATCAACTTCATCTCTCCAGGAATTTATCGACCGTTCCACTTACGAGATACTAAGGAGCTCTGTATATCAAACCAAAAAACGAAGTCTTTGCGCGCCATGTATTAGCAACAACTAAACAAGAAAATGGATAGTCAATCGATCAGTTTATACAGAAATTACACAGCCTCGCTGTTAACTGTAACTTTTTGTCCGTTCCTGCTGAAAAGCATCGTGACGAGGCTATCCGCGACGCCTTCATCACAGGACTAATGTCTAATAGCAGTCGCCAACGGCTTTTGGAGAAGAACAATCTTGATCTTCAACATGCATTCGAAGAAGCTCGCATGTTGGAACATGCTCAGCAATAGTCAACTCTGTGATTCAACCTCCTATGTGCCATGCGGTGCTACATTCATGCAGTCAGATGTAGCAGCTCCAGTTCCTGTACGAGACGCTTCGGAACCGAAAGGAAATATTTGGAGCGGTATTTACCCTCTGCTTTTTCTGTGGGCGACTAAGATACCCCCGCTCCAAATGTCCCGCCCGGGAAGGACATTTTCAAGGGGTCTGCCGATTCAACCATTTGGAAGAATCAGTATTGACTTTAAGGGTCCACTCCCAACCATATCTCATAACAAATACCTCTTGACGATGACTGACGAACATTTACGTTTTCCCTTTGCTTTTGCATGTTCGGACGTTTCCTCGTCGACCGTCATCAAGTGTTCGATTGAGTATTTTCACTGTTTGGGTTACCTCCATATATCCATTACGATCGCTGAGCATCCTGCATGTGTGATGATTTGCGAAGTTTCCTTCATTTTATTTCGTCTGTTCACCGAGCTTGGCACTTTGTTTACAGCCGAGGTGACATCGTCAGTGTTTGATGATGTCACCTCGGCTGGTGATGAAACGTTTGCAAACAAATTGCCAAGCTCGGCGAAATAGAATTCAGTTCACCCGAGCTACGAGAACCGATTTTCAATACTTTGTCAAAAGTTTCCATGCCAAAGGAATTGCTACCAGCCGAACGACCCCATATAATCCGCGCGGTAACGGACAGGTGAAACGATTAAACGGCACTTTATGGAAAGCCATCACGGCTGAGGTCTCAACAACTGGACGTCTCCCAGTGGGAAAGTGTACTTATGGATGCCCTGAATTNAGACACCTCACGAAAGATTCCTGGAGTTCAACCGCAGGTCCACCACTGGTATTTCCCTGCCAAAGTGGTTATCGAATCCAGGTCCTGTTTGGCTCAAAAAGATGGCACGTTCCTCGAAATACAACCCTTTGATGGAGGAGGTAGAACTCCTAGATTGCAACCCTCAATACGCATGTATCTGTTTCCCTAATGGTAGAGAGGAAACCGTTTCCATAAGACATCTTGCTCCCAAAGCAACTGACACAGACAACCCTTACTCGGACCAAGCGAACCAATGTATCAACACTGACGACCACTCGCAGTCATATCCCGGGGTAAACCCTTCACAAATAGAAACCGTGCCTTCACAGCTCCTGTCCAAGACCCTCCAACCGGAGTTAGCTGCTCAGTCAGATCTACAAGACAATCTGCAACAGCATATCGAAAAACGACATGCTCAACCGGACAACTTGCGGAACAGAAGCTAAAATGAATCCCCAAGCGCCACTAGTTTTCTGTTCTGCAGGGGAAGAATGTTATAAACCGATGCGTTACCCTAGTTCAAATGGGACTTTATTAACTCTCTCTTTTCTTTCATTGTAGCTTTTTTCTTAAGATTGTTAGAAGATTAAAGCCCATATACGGCCAGACTCCTGCATTACTCCGCACCTCTCGAATATAACAGTCGTAAGCATAGATTGTCGAATACCTTTAGGTGATGCATGTCTTTTCGAATCACCGCATGTGCATCGGTTCTACGTACGTTGTTCAAGCCCTGGAAGCACGTGGTAGTCCCTTTTACGATGCTGCCGTCGTCTGAAATGCAACTAAGAAGCAGTCAACTTCAGTAGAGCTAGAGGTATCCAGATATGGTATGTGCTTTGCACCTTCCAAATGCAAAGTTCTTGTTCAAAACTGGCAGGAGCCTGTGCCTGCACTCACCCTCTGTGGTGATCAGCTGGAAGTAGTTGAGAGCTTTAAGTACCTCGGGAGCTTGATCGCAGCTGGTGGGGACGAGATCACATCACGAATAGCGAAAGCTAGAGCGGCTTTTGCCAACCTGCGACATCTGTGGCGCCGCCATGACATCCGATTGTCCCTTAAGGGAAGGGTGTACATCGCCGCAGTTCGTAGCGTTCTGCTTTACGGTTGCGAGACCTGGCCTCTCCGAGCGGAGGATGTTAATCGACTTTCTGTGTTTGACCACCGATGTCTCCGAAGCATTGCTCATGTCTGGTGGGAACACCGGGTGAGCAATGACGAGGTCCGTCGTCGTGTGCTTGGTGCAGATAGTCGCCCTCTAACAGAAATAATCGCTCTACACCGCCTCCGATGGCTGGGTCACGTATTGCGTGTGCCTGCCCATCGACTTCCTTTCCGTGCTC